GATGTCTGGTCGTTTTTCAACAATCAACAAAGATCACACTTAAAGGGTGGGTATGCATACTCAGCAAACGCGTCAGTCGGGTTGATAGGGAGGCCATTGTCGTTGTAGGGTAAATCTGGGGTAAGTGGCATTTCGCAGGCCTTAATATACCACGCGATGATCGTTAAATCCGATGAAAGCCGATCATGTGTCAGCATCCACGCCGAGAACGGCAGGGCTCTGTACTGTAATGTGGCGCACATGATTGGTTGAAGATGAGCTGCCCCTATCCATTCGAGGCACGGTTCAGCTGAGGTGCCACGGTAAAAGAGTTTTCAATGATCTAATGTTGTCCAGTCGCAACTTAGGCGATGACAAAACAGACTGGTTCGCCATTTAAAGGCTTATAGCGGCGACGGTGGGTGCAATTAAAGATGGCCTGGTCGTTGTGAAGGATGCGACGAGAAGATAACTATCGGCATTGTCAGAGGGAAGAAGATGGAGAGTGTCGAGTCTGGATTAAGAGGAGGAAGCGTGCAGCGCGAATGCGACTAGTATAACCTTTGTAAGGTGATATCTGGAAAGGCCATAATGCTCATTTCACGTAATAAATCAACGCTCACAGTGTTCATTGTAACAACGTTTTGCTCAACCACTGTAGACGGAGCGGCTACAGCAGGCTAAACGCTCTTTTGCCTGAACATAAAATGCACACGCACACACAAGTCCGCACGCCCCCGTGCAGCTGGAACCGCGGCGCGAAGGAGGATCACCAAGAACTCGAGATCATCACAGGGCTCCTGACGTGGCGTCCTCGGCGCAGGACAAGAGACAGGTTACATGACCACCCTAGACCCTAAACTGTAAGTCGACAAGTAGCCTCGAAGCAAACAGATAGTGTAGTTCTTCGCCTATCCGCCGCGATGTAGCATGGCGAGCAGGAGCCACTAGACTTTTTGAAACAACGGCATTGTGTCGATTTCTCGTGACCATGAACAATTGAAACCCGACAAAGGCGGAGACCGGAAGATGGTTTAAAGTACAAGAAGCGCAGATTTCCTGGATGGAGGAAGCAAGACGGAGAATCAAAAAGACCAGAAATAGACAGTCGCAGTAAATTAGACGATGATGGTCCATGGAAGCGACGCCGAGATAGAAGTCTTCCGTTAAAGGATGTGGACGTCCAAGCCTCCCCAGCCAAAAAATTCGTAGAGGGCTGCCATACAATCCCATCAAGGCATAGCACGAGAAGAATGTCTTTGATGGTCTTTGCGCAACTCATCGTCGAAGAAGAAAAAAATTCAAGAAAGGGTCGGCGTGATCTACACCACGTGATGATCGTTTCTGAAAGTTTCACGTTTGTTTCCAACCATCATCAACGAATTGCTCCTCTAGGACTCGTTCACGCCGGCATGCATTTTTTTCCCTCCTTCGAAATCGCATCAGTCACGTATTCGCTCCACGGGTAGCGTACCGTAACTGGAGCCTCACCCCGTCTGGTATTTATCTTCGGTGCATTCAAGGATTTCTGGAGATATCACGGTCTGAAACTTCTTTGGGATCTCTGTCTGGAATTTGGGCGTATGTTTTTGGACATTGTTCTCCTCGTGCACGGCGGATGTTTGGCGATATATGGACATTCACGAAAACATGTGAGGTGCTTGTCCGTGGGCTCTGGACGTTTCATGCCTACCTGTGGTTATTCTCTGGGGGATATTTAACGCGTACTGGGATGGCTGAATTCCTCATTCTCACTGAGATTTCACTGCTACACATCTGAAAGATGAAAACCTTCGCCATCCTCGCTGCACTCGTCGCGTCTGCTTCGGCTTTCACGATCAACTTCCAGAACAGCTGTTCATACAGTAGTCTATTTTGCTTTCAGTCTCCCGATGATTACTGATGAATGTATTTCGCAGCTGTGTGGGCCGCCATCGGGAAGGCGTACAACGGACAGGTTGATACGTCGCTCTCGTATGGTGTTGCTCTGGCGCCTGGCGCCTCCAAGTCTTATGGAATAGACGACAACGCACTTGTACGACCTCTTCCCTTCTCCTTTATGCCCCTCACTTATGACATTGGGTATCTAGGGTGTTCGCGCTTGGGGACGCACCGGCTGTAACGCTAGTGGCGCGAACTGTGCTACCGGCGCATGCAATGGCGGTACGCCCTAAACTTTCATCTCTACAATTCACGCTCATACATCATAGGTCTTGTCTGCAACGACGCCGGCATCACGTCCCACGCGATCCTCTCCGAATACGGATACGGGGACTTTGGCCAGTGGGGTGGGAAGCGCACCGCCTGGGACCTCAGCTACGTGGACGGGACCATCAACATCCCTACGACGCTGACGTCGTCCGATGGGCAAAGCGTCAAGTGCACTCCATCGTCGTGCCCTGATGATCAGGCGTACCGCTATGACACGGATTACGCGGCGGATAGGAACTCGCCTCTGGGAGCGACGTATACGCACAAGTTTTGTTGAGGGGCTACGGCAGCATTGTTGTTCATCTCAGAAGTCTTGCCGACTGATGTCCAAGATAATAGGGCCACTTAAAACAGACTCAAGTGATAACTTCTTTGCGCTTTACATCGTGACCGTAATATGATCCTAGGATATCAACTCGTATGTCTTCCGTTACCGTTGCGATGTCCTTCTCTTCTTGGGCTTCGACTCTTCGACACAGCTTTCTTTTCATCTACTCCACATCTTGAGCAACCTAAGATCCGTCTCGCTCATGATATCTTTGGTTCTCATCCCCGCGTCAGCTGGAGACAAACTATGACGGTAAGTGGCGGCGTGCATGACTAACCACAGTCACTGTCAACTGACAGCTTTGTGTTGATGAGAGGGAACTCAACGGCGACGTGTTGTTTTGGTTTGAGGAAAAAGAGTCTACCTTTCAACCAAAAAGCTGCATTGTGTGTTATAATTAGCCCTGTACCGTCGCGAACCTCCTCTGCGGAGGATACACTGGCAGCCGCACACCACACCTATTTACGGTTTGGCGCGTCCAGTGATTCGAGCTGGCGGCTGTGACGCGGGCGGCGCTGATTGCGCTACGAGTCCTTTTCGTTCTTTCGTTTTCCTCTACCCGTATGTAACGATGCCAGCATCACATCCCACGCCCTTGTCTGGTGCTTTGACATGGGTCTCCAAATGAGTCAACCAAAGAGATGACACTACACGAAGAGGCGAAGTTAAACGTGGACATGAAGACGCGGTGGCTGTGCCAGAAATCAAACTGTTTTCAATCCGGTTTATTCTCAGGCTGCCATTGAACTCGTTCAAATGCCCCATGAAGTGGTAATGCTGTGGATTGGTGTCTGCGCCACATGTGTGGGTATCAACACAGCAAAAAAAAAGGCTGTTCGCTCATCATATTGGATACCAGGGATCGAACCCCGAACTAGCGCGCACAGGAGAGGCGCTAATGTTGACCGTTGTACCATATCCGATATGTGCAGATACTCAAAGGCTTATGAGTACCTCAAACTCAACGATCAACATTCCGGCGACAATGACGTTGTCCGAGTAGAGCACTCCGGCATTGTGCCCTGATGATCAGGCGTACATGACACGGATTATGCAGTGGATAGGACTAGTTGCGACATACGCCACACAAGCTTTGTTAAGAGTGAAGGAATCTCTCACTCGAGTACTTTCTCAAGTAGCACTCGATAATATCGGCAGTCAGACAGCCTAACTTTGTCAAGCGCCAGAGGGGATTGCACTCCCACTTGATGCAGTTGCAGAGCTTACAGTTGACGAACTGACCGTGCCTAGTAAACAACTGAGAGGAGATGAAGCCGCAGATTCGCGTGAGAAACATACTACTATCAGCGATAGTGATGATATCACTGGAAGCGGTATTACCAGTGGGATCCTGAACCGTGAAGATTACGCGAGTGCCTGTCAGCGATATGTAAGTTAGGCATTGGGCAAGCAAGGAAACGCACCGGGTGAGAGAAAACTTGGAATGTAGGTCACCGAATACTAAATAGCCATCTATAGGCCCAACGGTATCGAGGGGTATGGAGGTAGGGGACTGTGCTGGAACAACACTGAATGAAGATGTTATATGGCGGACATATGGCAAAGAACGTGAGTGTGTACGTCTAGAGAAACAGAATTGGGTGACAGGTCAGCAGAAACGACTCAGCGATACTCACGAGCATGAATGGCGCTAGGAGAAGACAAAGTAACTCAGATTGGACTGGTATCGAAGTTGGAAAGTGCGTACGAATTCCAGCTGAGAATGTAATAACAGTCGGCTGCCCAAAGACGACGGAAGTACTGCATCAGGTGGTCAGTCACTAGTACCAGTGAGGGAGGGAAAGGAAACTTGCGGGACGTTAATGAAGATAGCATCCACCAAAATCCCAGGAATGATGACGACGAAGGATATCCACTTGAAGAAGGACAAGAACATTGTCTTGAAAAAGTACAAGGAGAAAAGAAGAAATGTCTCAGTCAGAATCCGGTTTGGCCTTTTAAGGCTCCAATTCATGCATTGCGTGTACGGTCTGCTCTGATTTACCTCGCGTGCGGAGGCTGCACTGGTAGCGCCACGCCACACAGCAACTCGTTTAATACAAGTCTGGATCAATTGTGCTCCACGGCGCATGAATGCGAGCGCTGTTTCAGGCGGTGACCAATCCCGTGGTGACGGAAAGATACGAAAATGGTCGTACGGTTGGCAAAGTAAAACAAACAATGGAAAAGGTCGCATATTTAGGACACGTTCCAGTAATTGTATGCATGCAAGCACGCGTGCAATCTCAGCCTTCCTCGGATGGAGGTGACCCGATAGTGCTGGAACATTCGGATTTCGTGGAAGGTCGTATGTTGCACTGGCTGTCTGCGTTACATCAGTCCTTTTGTAATCTCAGGGCTCACTGCTTCGTTCAACGCAAGCTCATACAATGACACAAGCCGAACAAGTGACCGCTTACAGTCATGTACAATAAAATTGAGGGTATAACCAAAAGTAAAATATACCAGATGAAGGGCCCCATTCGGATACGGGGAATCGAACCCCGAGCTAGCGCGCAGAAAGAAGCGATCCCGTCATGAGAGGCGCTAATGTTAGCCGTTACACCATATCCGAGTTGTGTTTCAATTTTCGTAGCTCATAAACTCCTTGAACACGCGTCGTTCTCCCCCAACTTTTCCCTCACCGTCAATGTGATTTGTTCCATTCCTGGGGTACGACCATCGACTGTATAGTGTAGTAAAATGGTATCATTCACGGTGGAGGATTCAGAGATTGCTAATATAAACACTGGCTAGGCATGAACACAGGAGTGATTGTTCCTTGAGGCTGAATTCAAGAAACCCTTGCTCTCCACTACTTACAATGAAAGTCTTCGCTATCATCGCTGTGATCATCGCCTGCGGCATTCACGCTCAAGTTCCAGAACGACTGTTTGTATAGTACGTCACGGTTTTGGCTCTGTTCTTACCTGTCAACGTAAAGGCCTTCGCAGCTGTTGGAAAGGCTAGCAGTAGATCGTTCGTTAAGTGCCAGGAGGCGGAAGCCGACCCGTCGCTCTTACATGGTGTAGAGCTGGCGCCTGGAGGCTCCGAATCCTACTATGAGATAGTGTTAGCGACTGACTAAGCCACGAGACTCAACCAGGTACCACAGCAAGAACTTAGGGAGAAAGCGTTCACGTTCGTAAGACTAGGCTAGGCCAGGTGTATAAACGAGATCGGAACTAAAGTACAATGATACTACACTACTGCTTATATACTAGTAAGTCTGTGTTTGAAGCTCCTTGTCCATACGCGTTTCCACTAGGGATGCTCCACGCCCTTGACCCAGTGTTGTATGCTACTAGTCCGTGAAACCATTAAATACGAGTGGTGACTGCATGTAAGTAATAATACTGAAACGACCATGTGTGCTACGAGTGTCGGCGGTGTGTATACAATAGGGAGTCCATGAGGTATCGGCATGTATGATGTCATCCATGTGTTGGGTGTGTGTCCGTCATGAGTACGGCTTCGGTAATGAAAAGGAGTATGATCGGTGACGAAACAGATGATGAAACAGTCCGTTGGTTGATAAGACAAGGCCCCGATAAGATATGAGAAGATGTGAAAGTGTGAAAATATGGTCATTCATAACATCACCCCCTCCTTAAGGCGCAAATTCCATTCTGCGCCAGATTTGCTCCATGAGAGCCGCAGAGGGTAACGTGACATCAATAGGTTCGGTGTCAGGCGGTGGCATGGGTCGGAATAGGTGTGATGGAAATTGCGACATGGGGACTTCGATGCGAGCAAGCGCAGGTGGCTTCGGCTTTTTCGGGTACTGCTGGTGAAAGTCGCGAATGGCTTCGTCGGCATTCTTGAGATTGCATGCCGGTTCCCATGTCTGTTTGTGTGTGCCATAACCCTTCCAGTGAACCTTGTATTGAAAACCCCCGCGGTACTTCCGGGAATTCACCACTTTCTCAACCTCCCATTCCGGTTCGGCTCCTTCCAGCACAGGTGGTGGACGCGTGTCTCGGGGTTGCGTCGGAAATTGCGGCTCGTGGTAAGGCGTCAACAGAGCCTCATTGAACACGGGATGAATGCTTTTCCACGTGTGAGGAATCTGGAGCTTGTAAGAGCTCGTCCCGACTTTCTTGATCACTTTGAACGGCCCGAAGCGTTTGTCATCGAGCTTCTTCATTGGTCGGTCCGTGCTGAGATTCGTCCCCTCCAGCCATACCTTGTCGCCTTCCTTGTACTCTACTGCCTCTGTCCGCTTCCTGTCATAAAACCGTTTCATGTCTTCTTTTGCCATCTTCAATGCTGACCCCACTTCGTCCCATGTCTTCCTCATGCCGTCGGCAAACTCCTGCGCAGTCTCATTTCTCGATGCCGTTTTTGGAGCGGTGCCTTTGTAGGGATGTCTGCCCATGTCTGCGAAGAACGGAGTGACTTTGGTCGCCGAGTGAACTCGATCGTTGTAAACGAATTCAGCAGAGGGTAACCATTCGTGCCAGTCGTTCTGATGGTAGTTGACGAATAACCGTAAGAAATGTTCTATCTCTTGGTTCAGCCGTTCCGTCTGCCCATTTGCCTGTGGATGGTACGCCGTCGTGAAGTTCCCTTCAATGCCCAACAGCCGGTATAACTCCTTCATGAAACGCGAGTGGTATTGCGGACCTCGATCGTGTATCATCTGTCGCGGCAATCCATGTATGGGGAAGATTCGATGCGGTAAATACGAGCCATGCCTTCTGACGTCAGGGTGGTGTGTGTTGGTATAATGCGTAACCGCTTTGTGAAATGGTCCACAAATGTGCTGATCGCATTGTATCCTCCCGACTCCGGCAACTCGCCGATCATGTCCGTCCCAACTTTCTCCCATGGTTCGCTTGGTACGTCTATAGGATGGAGGGGTGCAGCCGGTTTGTGCGATGTGACTTTGTAACTTGGCATTTTTGACACCCTTCCACGTATTCGCGGACGTCTCGGCTATTCCTGGCCACCAATAGGTGCGTGTGATCAACTCGAGAGTCTTGTACCGTCCCGGATGCCCTGCAAGCTGTGCATCATGATGCATTCCAATAACTTTTCCCCGCAATTCCTTGTCCTTCGGTATGTAAATACGATCTTTCCATATAATAAGTCCGTTTTCCTTCTCTTCCCATCCTTTTTCTTTGTTTTCTAATGCTTTTTGTAGTATCTGTCTTGTTTCCTTTTCTTTGTTTGATTTTGTTAAGTAATTCGTCCTCCGGTGTAGCTACTGTATGTAAAGAAAATTGAATTTGTGATATAAAAAACTCCGGTTTTAGTAAAACAACGTTTTTCGTTATCTTTTTCCCCCTTCTCAAGGCCTGTCATCCTTGACAAGGCATCAGCTTTTCCCATTGTCTGCCGGCTTGTGAATCATCTGTATATCATACTCTGCCAACTCCGTAACCCATCGCGCCTGCCTCCGGTTCAACTTCTGCGGTTCCTAAGTACTGAAGGTTTTGATGATCGGTAAAAACCTCCACTGTCTCCTTAGCGCCTAGGAGATATTGCCGCCAGTCGTCGATTGAGTCCATAATAGCCATCATCTCTTTGTCGTAGATCTCATAATTGCGCTCCACTTCGTTCAGCGCGCGAGACCGAAAGGCTACTGGTCTCCATTTTCCGTCAACAAACTGGGAAAGAACCGCCCCGTTTGCATAGTCGAGGAGTCCGCCTCAACTCGAAACTTGCCGTCGTCGCGTGGTACAATCAGAATGGGTTCTTCCGTCATCCTCCGTTTCAACTCCTCAAACACCTTGTGCTGCTCCATGCCCCAAACCCACTCGCCTTCCCGGTTAGCATGTCAATGGCTTCGCTACTCCCGCAAATCCCCGGATGAAACGTCGGTAGAAGTTGCAGAAGCCCAAGAATGACTGTACTTCCTTCTTCTTCGTCGGCTCCTTCCATTCCTTCACTACGGCCACTTTTGCCGGATCCATCTTCACTTCTCCTCCTCCAACAATAACTCCTAAGTAGTCTACAGTATGTGCCTCAAAACTACATTTCTCGGGTTTTAAATACACTTATTTACTCGTAATATTTCTAATACTCGTCGTACAATTGTCTATGTCTTCCAAGTGTTCGTAAAGATAAGTATGTCATCAAGTAAACTATAACATGTCCTTCATGATCACTCCTTCAGAATGTGATTCATGAATGATTGGAACGTTGCCGGCGAGTTTGTAAGTCCGAAGAACATGACTGAGGGCTCGAACAGGCCTTGGTTTGTTCTAACGCCGCTTTCCACTCATCACCTTCTTTGATCCGGATGTTATTGTAACCCCATCGGACATCCATCTTTGTGAAACCTTTGCTCCCTTCAGCTTGTTGATAAGCTCTGGATCAACGGTAAGGGGTATCGGTTTTTGATTGTCATGTCGTTCAACTTCCGATAATCTGTACTGGCCGAAGGCTTCCGTCCTTCTTCTTGACAAAGAAGAATGGTGACGCCATGGGTGAGATTGATGGCCGTATGCGTCCGTGCGTATGTTTTCCTCCAAGAACTCGTCTAATGCCTTCTGCTCGGATGGACTAAGGGGATAGACCTTGCAGTCAACCGGTTTGGAACCAGGCATGAGTTCTATCGCGTGATCCCAGGGTCTTGCTCCGGTAGCTTGTCAAAGTCCGCCTTGCTAAATACATGGAGAATTCCTCAATGTAAGGTGCAGCAGCGGATGAAGGCTGTTGTGATCTCAGCTTTTCACCGCTTTTGCAATAGTTGTCCCAGTCCATCCAAAACAACTGCTCTCCCTCCTCCAGCTTCTCTTCTACATCTTCTCCTTCGTCTTCTGGCAGTTATACTCGGGTAGATAGCCGCAACGGTCTGGGCATCGATCAAAAGTCAACGTGGATTCCGTCCAGTTGATCGTGGGGTTGTGATATCGTAGCCAATCTAGCCCCAAAAAGATCTTGTTTTGCCAAGATTGGTAACGGCCAACTCAATCTTTTTGCGTGATCACCGATCTTCATCCGGACCTCCACAAAACCTTAATTGCTCCTCCCTCGTTTAGGGTTCCATCCGCATTGTAGACAGGGAGCTTGACCGGTAACTCCTTGATGGAAGTCCGTTCTTCTCAACGAATTCTTTATTGACACAAGAACCCGTTGCTCCGCTGTCGAGAAGGGCACTTGTTTCCCATTCAGAGCCTGTGTGTACGCTCTCTATGGTTACTCGGAGTTTCATGTCCTGCCCCTTTGTTCCCCGGATATACTTCCTCGACTTTTTCAACTCCGTCACAACTTCCACCGCAGCTTCCTTTGTCAACGCTCTGATTGCCATACCTTCTCTTCTGTCGCTTCTCTCTCTCTCCGCTCTGGCATCCATGCTCTCAAAATTCCCACTGCTCTCGGCACTTCATCCTCTCTTAGCCTTTGTGCAACCCACTCAGGCGTATTTGGTTCATATCTTTCTTTCGCAGGTTTTGGTGGTAAAATCGTGATGATATTTTAGATGTCTTAGTACCAGTACTATAAATAGATTCTGCATCTGACAATTCTTCCCTTGGCAACTGCTCCGGCAGGACTGCGTCTACTGCGGGAGCTTCGCAAAACCCAACTCTTCGGCCAGCTTCTTCTTCTCTTCGTCATTCATATTGG